GTGGTTAGTGTTTAAATACGCGCGTAGCTGTGAATCAATGATTTTTTCTAAAATTTTTGACATTACTGGGAGAATACTGATGGGACGAAGATCTTTGTATTCTTTTGGGTTGGGTATTTTTGCAATCGGTATGACAAGTGCTTTTTCCACGCAGTTGGAAATGTGTTAGTATTGATACATTCGTTAATTATATGCGTTAGATAAGGAAGAATTGTAGGACAAAACAATTTCACAATAGTAATGTTTATACCATCCCAACCAGTGCTATTCGTTTTTATCGAGTTAAGCAGCTTCGCAGCCATGCCGGTATCAATCGATGAAAATTCAAAATTTACATACTTATAATCAGCGCTAAAAAGAGGCTCAATTTTAGACAGATCACTTTGAACAGCAGGAATACTATTTATAAAGTAATCATTGATTTGGTTAGCATGTTGTAGAAAAGGAGGTATGACGTTTTTCCTGTCATGAACGATTTTTAGATTTTTAAGTTCCTTCCATAATACTTTGGGGTCCTTATTATTGAGTTTATACTCCAAAAACGCTTTCTTCTCCAGTTTTACCGTTTTGTTCACAAAATTACGCAGAGATTTATAATATTCCCAGTGTGCGGGTGATTGCGATTGTTTGAATTTTTTGTACGCTTTATCCCTTAGCCTCATAAGGTATTTGGTGTTGGATGATAACCATTGTGTGTTAGTTTTCCTGTTGCCCGATACAGTAACTATGGGTGCATGCTTGTTAATAATGTTGAGAATGTTATCATTTAGGTAATTTAGTTTCAGATTTACGTCAGCTATGTAAAAAATATGTTGCCAGGCTACTCTTTGTACATCGGCTCGAAATAAGTCTACATCGAAATTTTTAAAACTTCTAATAGCTCTGCGTTCATGATGACTTATTATTTTGTCTAAAACGAGTTCACAAAATATGGTTTCGTGATCAGCAAATAGCATACCATTTGTACCAGATTTTTTAACTACAATAGGATTTGAAACAATTATGTGGTCTAAAAGCGACGTACCTAAACGTGTGGCCTTTTCGATGATTTGAGTTAAGCCCAGAGTTTCTAGCATGTTTAGATAATATTTAGTTTCAGTTGAGGATTTATTAAGAATATTAATGTTTACATCCCCTACACAAACAAGACTCTCACATGCCAGCAAAGCTTCTAAGCATACCCCTTCCAATTCGTCACAGAATACTTTGTAGTTTTGATTTGGAGGTCTATAAATAACGCCAACTACCACAGACTGAGTACTTGTTTTAATATTTAACCATAAGTGTTCAATTGTGTATTGATTAGAGCCTATAATAGTAAATTTTAATTTATTTTTTATATAAATACAGACTCCACCACCTCTGTTTACCCTATCATGCCTCACCAGATTATAACCAGGAATAGTAATATGCTCATCGCTCACGTCATTCTTCAACCAGCTTTCGCTGATAGCCATTACATCATATTTTTCGACATCCAAAAAACTTTTAAGAACGTGTAACTTTGGCACCAGGGATCTTATGTTTACATGTGCAATACGCATTGCTACAAAAAAATAACAGAATTAGTACAGAATTAATTGGCAATTATACTTAATACAAAAATAATTAACAAAAATACAATTTTGTAGATAAACGATTAACATAAGCAAGATTGTCCACAGACCAAAAATTCGTGCGATCAAACACTGCATCGATTGCATATTTAACAAAGCCAGTTTATTTATTGTTGACAAGAAGATCCAGCTGTTTATTGGTTGTCGCCTTTTTGATACCATTATCCGTCTTTATACAAATTTTCCCATCGGAGGTCCACACTTTCTTGCTACCGTAACGTTTTATAGCTTCCTTTAATATGTATACATATTTTCCCGTACTGTACGGGAATAAAGATTCCCGGACAGTACGGAAATCACCTGCTTTGTGATGACATAAACAAAACAATAATATGCCATTTTTCCGGCTATCGACTAAAAAATACTTTTTATGAAACACAAATTCAAACAACAATTCTAAATGAAGCTAAATAAAATGTGACACCAAAAGCAGCTTTGCACATTAGATTATCTGTAGATTTAGGATTTTTTTCGAAATACAAATTCAAACAAAAATTCTCTCCCCAACCAAGTAAACTAACTAAAGACTTTCGATTCTTACTACACGCGCCTCGTATACCAATGCCGAGCGAGCCGAAGGCGAGTTCGGCATAACTCTGTCCCTCCCTTAGGGTCGTCTCTCTACGTCCACGGTGGCAAACGACATTTGCCAACGGCCAAACATACAGTACATTTTTTTACACCAATGCCGAGCGAGCCGAAGGCGAGTTCGGCATAGCTAGGGCTCTCCCTTAGATTCGTCTCTCTCCGTCCATGGTGGCAAACGACATTTACCAACGGCCAAACATACAGTACATTTTTTTTACACCAATAGGCGAGTTCGGCATAGCTAGGGCTCTCCCTTAGATTCGTCTCTCTACGTCCACGGTGGCAAACGACATTTACCAACGGCCAAACACACAGTACATGTTTTTATACCAATGCCGAGCGAGCCGAAGGCGAGTTCGGCATAGCTAGGGCTCTCCCTTAGATTCGTCTCTACGTCCACGGTGGCAAACGACATTTAAATTTTTGTTTAACTTTTTTGAAATACAAATTTCAACAAACATTTTTAATAACCCTTCCCCCTAACGAAGTAAAATAATCTAGGACTTTCGATTCTTAACACACGCGCCTCGTATACCAATGCCGAGCGAGCCGAAGGCGAGTTCGGCATAAACCAACCGCCGTCCCGAAT